TATAATACTGCAGTTGATTCGTGGCTTCTGCATTATCCTGGGACACAAGCAGTGTCGTCACTAATAGTGATATTTTCAATAAAACAACAGTTCCCAATACTAATCATGATAAACAAATTGCAACAGCAGCACCATTGGCTACTGTAGAAAATTTACGTGAAGGTACCTCATCGCTTGATGGGGCTGCTGCCGATATGCCCGCAGAAGATCCTGCAGATGTTTCCGCCGGGATTCCCCCAAAAGCTTTCGTAAGCCCTCAAGTATTTAAAGGATATCCAAAGGCTGGCGAAAGAAAATTGAATAACTGCCGCCGAAAAAAAGCCACCAGCTGTATTCCAGACATACACACCTGAAAATTTGAAAATCGAAATGAAATATGCCGAAAGAATAAACATAGATAGTCAGAAAGCAACGAAGCAAGCCACGAAGGATTTGTTTGCAAAGAAAAGAAGAGTTGACATCCCCGAGGGTATATCTTCGGATGAAGAAGATGATGTATCACTTCATGACGACGATAATGACGTTTCAGGATGTATTCCTGATGTTGAACCGTCAGGTTTCGAAGAGCTCGATAGATATACGAAACCCGATGACTTTATTTTGGTGCAATTTAAAGCAAAAAGTGATCTCTTCTATTGGGAAATACAAAAAGGCTTCAGTCCTATTACAAATTTAAAGTTAATTTCAACCTGCTAAATATGAGCTAGAACTTTTTTTCTTATTAATGTGTATTAAATTTAGTCATTTAGTCATGACTCATAGTTGCCCCAAGTTAAGGGCCACCTTAAGACATACGGAAAAAAAAGCATCCATAACTTTTTTACCAATCAGAAATTTATTACTTTTTTTGTTATTCATGTTTATCCTATATTAGTTATGTGTACAAATAAATGTTCGCCAAAATCTAATTTAAATAACAATTAAATCAAATAATAACTTTTTCCGTCTCATGGTGGCCCACTCTCCCCTATTTAAACATTTGGGAGAATGCCTGAGAACATTTCCAGAAAATAAACGTGTTGTACCATAACTTTTGATGAAATGGCCACCAGGAAGCATGTTCAATATAACTCCTATAAAGACTGCATAGAGGGATTGGAGGATTTTGGTACTGAAAGGACAAATAGAAATGCCAACTATGTCCTTGTTTTTATGACTCAGGGCATTGTCAGAGCATAGAAGCAGCATATTGCTTTCTATTTTAGCAGATGTGGTGTAAATTCTGCAAGGATGCAAGGTATATTAAAACACATTTTAACAGCTCTCAACGCAAATGGAGTACCAGTGTTGGCAACAGTATGGGGACATCAAATATTAAAACATAAAGGGATATGAGCTCTACAGAGACACATCCATATTTTAAACATGAAGGGAACAGAATTTCCACAATATTCGATGTCCCACATTTATTAAAATGTAGGGGAGCGAGAGGCTTGTTGTAACAGGGGTAAGTAGTAACACGGCTTTTTTATTAAGAATTTTAATCTTATAAATTTACTTATTTGACCTAATATCATCTTTATATCGCGCCACATTATACTGTGATAGCCGTGTGCACGAGCTTTATTTTTGCCATGTAATGTAAAAATTTACCTTTTTAAAATTTTGGTTATCGTTATTGTTTTGAACTTATCTAAAACTTTCGTGTTCCATTTTCTTTCATATTTACGATGGATGGATGGATGATGTGGTATAACTTTTTTTACGATTTATAAATTATTATTATAGTTTTCTTAATAAAAGTAAAAAAATGTAATAAGGGGTGTAACAAAATCTTGGGGCTTGTTGTAACATGTTACAACTTGCCCCTGAACTTTAAAATACATTACTCCCACTTGTATTTTACTAAGATAACATTTAATTTGTTCTCTTTTAGAATGAGAAACTATAAAAGAAAGTCAGAGCGGGCCACAGAAAGTCAGGAGGTGTACGAGTTAGCTGCAACTGAAGTTTTAAATAACAATCTTAGTTTACGGAAAGCTAGTAAGAATTTTGGACTGTGCCATTTATCTCTTTCCAGATATATTAAGAAAAAAAGAATAATGAAAGTCCAAAAGTTGGTTATGTTAAGCCAAGGCAAGTTTTTACTGCAGACGAAAAAACTAAAATGGCTTCTTACATTCTTAAGTGCGCCGAAATATATTTTGGATTGCTTCCCATGGAAATAAGGAAACTAGCTTACCAATGCGCTGTGCAACTTGGTGCTAAAAATATTCCTCCTTCTTGGCATCAAAATGGTATGGCTGGTCCGGACTGGTTTCAAAATTTCATGCGCAGAAACCCGCACTTATCTCTAAGGACGCCTGAAGCAACGTCATTAAGCCGAGCAACATCTTTTAATAAGACTAACGTTAGTGCTTTTTTAGAAATATACGAGTTCTTCAAACACTTGTAACACTTACTTGCGCCTGTAATGCAGCTGGAAATTTTATCCCACCGATGTTTATTTTTCCTCGACTTGCAACCCTTAGATGTTGGGGTCTACGGCCCTTTTAAGAACTATGTGAACCGAATGCAGACAGCATGGATGCATAATAATCCGGGGAAGACGATGACAATTTACGACATTCCAGGTATAGTAAAGGATTCATTACCATTAGCTTTAAACCCTGCAAATATAATGAGTGGATTCAAAGCTTCTGGTATATGGCCTTTGAATGCTGATGTTTTCCAATACAGTGATTTTGCCAACAAAGATTAGACCTTTACCAAAGGCACCACCTCGGAAAAATACTAAGAGCAGACGTAAAAGAAAATCATGTGTTTTGACAGATACACCCGAAAAGGAAGCTTTAAGAATGGAACATGAGAAACAAATAAAAAAAGAAGAGAAAAAAAATATATAAACATGGAAAAAAGAAAGAAACAAAGGAAAAGGAAAAAGGAAAAGGCAAGGGTAAATCAACAAAAAACAAAAATGGACTAGAAAGAGTTAAAAAAAGGATTTTGACTGATTCAGAATCTGAGCCTAAGGAGTGGTTTTGTCTAGTTTGTAGTGAAGCATATAGTGATTCAAACAAAGGCGAATGGGTAGAATGTATTACATGCAAGATGTGGGGACATGTAAAATGTGTGTCAGGAAACACTGTTTCCTCTATTTGTATAAACTGTGATTCTGAAGAAGACTGAATTAATTTATCAGGGAACAAACTTGCTTAAAGGCTGATACCTAGTTGTAGTATTTATTTAGAAGAATTTTTTAGTTTTTTTATTTAAAATAAAATAAAAGTTATGTTTTATTTGCTGTGATTTAAAGTGTCATGTTAATTATTAACTAAGAAAATTATTTTATTTTATTTTTAAGAAAAATATTTTAGTTTATTTATAGGTAAACAATTAAAGTTATAAAAAAGTTTTATAATATTGTTAAAAAACAAAAAAGAATAAAGTTTAAATGTGTTGCAATTTCAATTTTTTTTACTGTTACTACTTGCCCCAAGAGATGTTACAACTAACCCCAAGCACGGGGTTAGTTGTACCATCGTACTTTTTTTAGTAAAATGTTAGCTATACAATTAATATCAATATTTTTAGTATTTTTTCTATTGGGTTTTATACAGGACAAGTTAAAGAATCGTTAAAAAATTTAATTAGTGGTAATCCAGCAGATACATGTTAAGATATATTCGTTTGTCTAAAAATTGTTACAACAAGCCCCTTGCTCCCCTACAAGAAATTTGTTCAAAAAGTATGTGCAAATCCCTGCTTGTGATATACTGTCATCATTGGACACCCCTTTACAGGCAAGGAGGTCTAATATTATAGCAGTGTATGAAAGGGACAAAAACTCCCCACTGATTTTCAAAAGCCTGTAGAAAATTTAAGATTATTACTTTGCACCAATGAGGCAGAATTCAATGAAAGTCAAAATTCCAGCTAAAACACTCGACTTAGTCGACTAACAGGCATTTGTCTGTACGATGCGGTAACAAATGGTAAATATATATCTTATACAATTATTAGATCCTACTTGAAAATTGTATTTTAGAAATGCTTTGGCTACTCCCAAATTTGTCAGTAATGTGGGCAACATATTTGATAGCTGCAATGGCACTGCCCTGACTCCACCTGTCTGCAAGCTTTACAAGTCCAGAGTGACGAAAGATTCTGGACATGAAAACTTCTGCTCAGAATCTATTAAAACTATTAAACAATGGCGCTTTCTAAGGAATCCTACGCATGCTGATGTCCCAAATTTTTGGATGCCTCCCTCACAAAAAGGGTGGCTTTATACCCTCCAGGTACATATTTGGGTTTTAACATGCTTACTCTTAAAATTTATTATATTATTATTATATTTCTTTTTTCTGGTTTTGACAGTATATTTTCAAATTTAAAACTTAAATAGCATTATTATTTCAAATTTACAGTACTGGAATTTTTATACAAATAAAGTGTATTTTATATTTATAAGTGTCATGTCAAGTATTTTTACAAAAACATGATTTTTGCAAGCATGTTTTAATGTCATTAAATTTAATTTGTATGAAAATCACTTATATACAATTCTAGGAGTACCTACAATTAACAGTTTTTGAAATATTTAGCACTAACAAACTAAAAAACCGGGGAAATGTAACTCTCTAGAACTCCAAAAGGACTAAAATTCAATTAGAATCAAACTTCATATACAAAAATCTGCAATGCACCATATTCAAAATTACTCTATTTTTGAGGTGCTTATTTTAAAAATTAGTTAAGATACAAAACGTTTTGATATTTATTAAAAAATTGCAATTTATACCATATAAAACTTACAATATGTATTTAGTGACTAACCATGTATAAAATAATATTGTTTTAGGCTTTCATAGACGTTTCCAAAAAACTGAAATCCATGGAAGTTGAATCATTCAAGCCAAGATAACTGAACCAGGATGCCCTCGAAAACCTGCTTGGTCTTATTAGGTCAGGTTTTGAATGTAATGAGAATCCAACGGTGTCCCAGTTTATAGGTTTTTTTAAAAACCCAAGTTATCAATGGGTTAACAAACCAGGGTATGAAAAATCCCAATTGCGAGGTGGACGAACTACAAATCCTAAGCAATCTCAGGTCCTTTTTGAAATGTGACGATAAAGAGTCCGAAAATGTAAGTATACATCTGGAATAAATACAAGGAGGGACAGTATTTATGCTCAAGAAGTGGCCATAGATATTAGGGTGGTCCTTAATAAGGTTATTTTCAAATTTCTTTGCTCCCAGGGGCTCAAATACTTCCAAATTGATAAAAAGAAATTCCCTGAAAATTTGAGCTCTTAATATTAACTCTAACATAGTGCGCATTCCAATCTAAGTTTCCTATGGAAATAACATAGGAAAAATTACTTTTGTTGTTTATAATTTTATAACTTGGGAACGAATGAATTAAAAATTATAAATCATACATATTTTTATAGAGAATTTATATTATAATTAGTCTTTTGGTTTAAAAGTTATTCAACGCCAAAGTTTAATTTTCATATTATTATTAATATTATCAAGGCGCCGTTTGTGTCAAAAATAAAAGTGCTAAATAAACTTATTTTGTTTTATAAATTATTAATTATATGTTTTACCGAATAATTTTTTTATAAAATTATTTTTTTATAAAATAATTTTTTTTTAAATTTTTTTTTGTAAAAAATTTTATAAAATAATTTTTTTATAAATTTTTTTTATAAAATTACTTATTTTTTATAAAATAATTCTTTTTTATAAAATTATTTTTTTTGATTTTTAGTTTTGTTTTAAGAGAATTGAATTATTTATTTTAATTTGTTTTCAAGAGAATTATTTTATTTATTTATTTTAGTTTTTAACAAGTGCTTTCTTATAAAAAACGTTTAAACATAAAGAATTCTTGTTAAAAACTAAAAATCAAAATAAATGTAGATAAAAAAATTTATGAATTAATGAATAAAAATAATAAATTATTATTTTCATAGTTTCCCCAAATTGCGTCAAACAAAAGACCAGTCCGTCATAAAATTGTGGGCGTTCGGGTTTACTCGAGTGTCTACAAACAAATAGAGATGGGTGCACGGTAAAAATTAATTTATAAATGCGCCCGTCGTCTTTTATAAAATAATTTTTGATTCGCAGAAAATTATTTTATAAAAAAATAATTTTATAAAAAAGAATTATTTTATAAAAAATTATTTTATAAAATTTTGTACAAAAAAAAATTTATAAAAAAATAATTTTATAAAAAAATTATTTGGTAAAGCATATAATTAATTATTTATAAAACAAAATAAGTTTATTTAGCACTTTTAATTTTGACACAAACGGCGCCTCATAAAAGAGCCTTGATAATATTAATAATAATATGAAAATTAAACTTTGACGTTGAATAACTTTTAAACAAATAGACTAATGGAAAAATTATAAGAGACCTTTTTTGTAGAGCGTTAAATTCTCTATAAAAATATTTTTAATTCAATCGTTCCCATGTTATAAAATTATAAACAAGAAAAGTAATTTTTCCTATGTTATTTCCATAGGAAACTTAGATTGGAATGCGCACTATCTTAGAGTTAATATTAAGAGCTCAAATTTTCAGGGATTTTTTTTTATTAATTTGGAAGCATTTGAGCCCCTGGGAGAAAAGAAATTTGAAAATAACCTTATTAAGGACCACCCTAATAGATATGTTTGAAAATTGTGTTTGAAACTACCCTTTCTAAGGGAGCTACAGCCCTCGAAAGAGGAGCCCCTGAAGATGGTTTTTATTTAATATCTCCAAAACCGTTCAAGATAGAAAAGTGAAATTTTGGGAATTGATAAAACTTTTTAAGGCCAATAAGATGTAATAATATAAATATATTTATATTATTACATCTTATTGGCCTTAAAAAGTTTTATCAACTGTTATAACAGTGTGTAATAATCCCCCAATTCCAATTGTTTGATTCGTAATACTTCCAAGTCGTTGTTTAAAAGCATTTGGGAAATGATTTAAAACACATCAGCAATTCATTAAAAAAGTCGTCAATTGAACAAAACTCATTAACTTTTAAATTACCTTTTTGATTGATTGTAAAACGCTAACGCTGCTTCGGGCAATTGTGTATCAGCCCTAGTTGCCAAACGTAAAGATAATAGTTGCTCAAAGCGGCTTTCAGCGCTGCCACCTAGCGGAGTAATATGAAAGCTGTTTTTATCACAAAGTTTGCCAAACGCTTTTTTGAGGTATAGAAATTTTTTGGGGTATAGAAAATTGTTGAGATATAGAAATTTTTGGATATTAATAAAAACTTTTATATATATATAAAAAAAAATATTTTATAAAAATTATATATATATATGGAAAAATTTTATAAATACATATAAATTATATAAATATTTGCAAATAAAATATATATATCAGAAAAATTAATTATGTCCTGAACGGCGCCTCATAATATATGCATTTATACTAATATTTTATAAAATATTTTAAGTAAAAAAAATAAAAAATTTCACCACAGAATGTTTTCTGTAAATTAAATGTATCGAAATTAATCTGTATAATATGTTGCAGTGTGAGAACCTTCATTTGTTATAGCATTTGTATGGTAGGATTTCCTTGGTTCTGCAATATAATGTGCAGAGACATAACAAAAGAAGCCAATGAAAGGAAAATGAAAAAACTTACACATGTGAACATAGTTAGAATAGAATCCACCAGGTAAGTTTTTAGCATCACTAATGTCTTTATAAGTACATTTATACTAATATTTTATAAACTGTACAAAATTTTACGTAAAAAAATAAAAAAATTCAGCACAGAGTATTTTATATAAATTAAATGTACAGAAATTAATCTGTATAATATGTTGCAGTGTATATATTGTAACTGATTTTGGCAATATAATGTTTATCCTTGTTTAAATGTTTAATATCAACATTAATTTTATCAACGATACTAAAACTACATATTTTATAATCTAATAATCTACTTAGTTTTGGTTTAAAATTTTTCAGAATGAATGGCTCATCTCGCGTATTTAAGATTCTAACCGGAATATTATTATTATTAGGTCTTGCTAATATACCAGCAGCAAATACACCTTTAGAGATTTCGTCTGGTAAAACTACACAATCCTATCCTATGTCTACGTGGCAAGTTTTTATTATTTGATCTTGCTGGAATCGTTGTGTAAAAGTTATTTTTATCCATGGGCAATGAAATTCGTTTGCAATTTATATAAAAATGTAACATAAACTTTTAATAATCTATTGTAGCAGAATACTTTTGTAAGAAATCTGCTCCAATTATTCAATTTTTGTTTTGTTCAAAACTATTATTCAGCAAAAATTCATGATCTAGGCTAATATTGTTTATATTTAATACAAGGTTTGTTGAATCTTGTGAAAATGTTGAGCCAGCTATTCCGTTAATTTTAACTTTTGTATTATAACACAGTACAACACGATTTCCCTCCAGCAGAAAAAAATTTTAAGCCGTCATTCCTATTATTTATGCTTATGCAGATTGTACATTTTTTACTCGGTTAAAAATATATTAAGTTGTAAATATTGTATGTTTTTACACAATACAAAAAACAAATATAAAAAAAGTTTATATTTTGATTTTTTTTTAAATAATTTTTTTTATATTTTTTTTAATGAAACACATTTGTATTTATATTATATTCAATACATTGTAACGTGTCAAAAAGACTCTTAGTTTATTTTATGAATTTGTTATTGTTTTGCTAATAAAACTAAAACTTACTTATCGGCACTTTATTATTTAGTTTAATTTCCATACTTTACTTGCTGTACTACTTTTATTTTCTCTATTTTGGTTTATTTTCTTAACTTATAATATATTTTAAGTGGTATCGCACAGTATAATTTTTCTGTCCTACTTTTGGTTTTGCCGGTAATGCCTGGTTAGTTTTATGACTTTTTCTCTTCTTACTAAAATTGTTATTACATTTATTATTATTGTCTAGTTCTACTACTTAATTTACCTTGTTTGTCTTATGTTTTCTACCGTTGTTTTAAGTTACATTTTGCAGGGACCTCGGTTTCCACAAGACTCTTTTCGTTTCCTAAGAGATTGAGTTTGGTTTTAGGAATACCTTCGTTGGGTTATTAGTTGTATTTGCCTTGGCTGTCTATATTTTATAATGGTATTTTGATGTAGCCATTTTCTGTTTACATCTTATCTGTCAAGTAGCAGTGTTGCCAACGTTATTTTAATCGCACACCTAGATTTTATCTGTAGGTTGCACACTGTAAATTCAGTGTTGCCAACGTTAAAGTTATGTAACGTTCCTGCTGGGGTGATGCTTGGTTTGATTGACAATTGACAGTTGGCGTTAGGCTTGTGAGCGTGTGCAACAGGTGCTTTGAAGATTTGGTTTTATTTCCACGATCCGTTCTTAATTTGTCTTCAGAGAAACCTTTATTGGATCCATTTAGACCGTTATCGTTTTGGATTTTGTATTTTTGGTCTATGGATTTAGCGGATTCGTCCGGATTTAAAAAGCACATGCTCTAGGTAAGCGTCCTTTGTCTATTTCATGGTTTTTTTTCTATCTAAGCCTATTTTAGTGATCAAGCCAGCGTCATTTCACACTACACCGCACATAACATCGTTGAATAAAATCCCACTGCTATAACTTGTCATCGTTGTACAATAATTTATTCAACCAGGCGTAAGTACAAATAATTTCTTTGGTAGACCTATTCCATACCTTTATTTTTCTCTTTTAGGGTTTTGGTTTCGTTTTGTTTTGTTTCGTACGATTCTATAGTAGAAAACTATAGTCTATTTGGTCTTGCTTTCTTGGCCTTAAGGCAGACAATTTTCTGTGGTCTTATTCCATACCATATATTAAACAACGCATCCCCAACATTGTGACCCTTGTTCCGGGACATACACTACCGCGAAGGTACCCGGACAAGCATACTTTCCCCGGATTGGACACTACTGTGAGTTGGCCGAGGTAGGACTGAGATTGGCGTCTGCCATCTCACCCATCACCCGATTAAGACACTTTCCCCGGATTTGACGACTTACCCGATTGTGACAACGTTTGGCAGCAGGATAAGTTTACCTATATCTGTTTCTTTACTTTATTGCGTGGTATTTATACCGGAGTATATGTTATTTTG